TGACCAGTTCTGGCTGACCACTGACAACTGACCACTACACGGGTAGAGCTTGTCTTAGGGTACTCTGCTTTCTCGGCATGGGTTTCCCTTTGTACAGAGTCTGACAATTTAAACACTCTCTCGCAAATTCTCCGAGAAAGTACCGTAATGATGTGCATCGGTGATGCTTCCATATTTGAAATGTGACAAAACGTCAAGCTTTAGTTCTATTTTCATTTACCATCTAGCCCAGTGCTGTCGTCATCAGGAAATATCTGTTGCTTTTATGCTTCATAAACTGTTAGCAGCTGATTTCCTACGACCGTCTTTCGTAGGTATCTTCTGAAACTGGTATTCAATACTCTTTGGAAAGGTCCGCAGTCCAGTGCTTCGTGGCTGGCATGGTTGTGAATGTGTCTAAAGCGAGAAAACGAGTGCCTTCTCGTTCTCCACGCCGCTGCACTCTTCAAATAAACGGAGAAGCAGAGAAAATGATGGAAGAGTCAAAGTACCTAAGGGTTGTGTATACCAGTGACGAAAAATGGGAGGAAGAGATCAAGCGACTAATTAGAAAGGCTAGCGGTGTTCTGTATGAAACAGCCTGAACTGAACCGTTGTGACTCAACAGAGCTGACTCTGAAAACGAAACTCTCTGTGTCCAAGTCGATCTTCATCCCAATGTTCACGTACAGTAATGAGGCATGGACAATGACTGAAAAATTTCGATTCAGGTAGAAGCGGCTGAAATATAATTTCTGAGACGAATCGCAAGACTCAGGCTTCTCGACATGGCCGAAGTTCAGATATCTGAGAGAGCCTTGATGCATAGCTGCTGCTTCTCCAGATTGAAAAGTCACAGCTGCAATGGTTTGGGCATATTGTGTGAACAATTTCAGAAAGAAAAGCAAAACATACTGTTCGCCTAACTGACCAGCTGAGAACTCGTAGAGCGGTGAAGGATAATCTTGGACAAGTACTTCGATATTGACTCGAGATTCTGCTGAAGAGCAGACGGTGGCCGAGAATCAGGTACGTTGGAGGCAGAGTCTGATGCGTCTGCATCCGGATCCAAAAGGATAAATAGTCATCGAATCTGACTGATACAGTGACCAATACCTTGGGTTGTTCTTGTGGCATGCTCGGAGTGACAGTCTTCGTTCAGAGAGTCGCTACAATGCGCGCGTACTCACTCATACGCATATATGTATCCCTTTTCCGTTATCCCATATGCCCTAGTTATGCGTGCTCCATGAACACATGTCGCTGCTCGTCCATTCTCTAGTTTCTGTTTTTTATCTTCACTGCTGACAAAGTAATTTGACCGTCGGCTCATCTCAGCGTGCTCTTGGATGACCGGCTTGACAGTGGTGGTGACCAAGCTACCACGCCCACCGGGTGTCGTTCACCTGAGCCACATGATCGACCTATCTACACTTGGCTTCATGGAATGCAAAATTTACCTCTGCTGACCTAACCCGTTGTCGAATTTGTGCATTCGAAATGAGGTCTAAGAGGGAAAACATTTTTTGCACCATTTCTCCTTCAGTGACCAGCAGTTTGTTCATCTAGACTTTAGTAGCAGACCAACGTTCAGCGCCGTAGATCATGGAGCGTAGAACGATTGAGTAAAGCAGTTCTTATTCGCCCTAATAGGCACTCTGCTGTTGAGTAAAATTGTTTCAATGCGACCAAGGCTGGACCATGTCGATTTTTTTCTTCGGTTGATTCAACTGTCTAGTGAGTTCATTCGGTTCATCTGACGGCCATGATATGTGTAGCTGGCGACTTCGTTGTTTTCTTCGCCTTTCGCGTAGATAGAGCCCTCGGGAAGTGAGCGTTTCTCATCCCTTTGATTTTGAGAGGTTAACTATGAAACTGATGATGAAAGATTCTTCTCGAAACTGCTGGATATTTTGTTAGAGCTCCGTCTTGTCTTTAACGAAGACGAGGCAGTCACCCGCAAATAACGAGTGTGTTAGCTTGTCTCCATTCAATATTTATATCTTGGCATCACCTCATCCGGTTGAAGAGTGACTCCAAGTCCGGCAAAGAGGGCTGATGAAATGGTTTCCCCTTGGTGCACTCATCGACGGTCAATGATGCGACACGGTTCACTGAATAGCTTGACTGAAGTCGTGCAACCGGTGTTCGATTCCTTCATTTGGTTGACGAAACAAGATTCTTGCCATGTTCATGCAAGGCGTTTAGCACAGCCGTTAATTCAATCGATTCGAACACTGTCATGTAGCCGATGGGAGCGAAACAGTGGCATTTAATATTCGTTAAGGCCCGGAGGATTACATGTATTTGGTCAATGGCAGGCTACCTTGCTCGAAAACCTGCTTGTTCCTGATTTGAGGTCATTTTGTTGTCCTTTCGAATGTGCTAGTAAAGAATTTGCAGATTTGTGACAGGAGTGAAATTGGTCCCTAAGGTCTTCTGAGTCACCTTTCCTCAGGAAAAATGGCCTTGTTGTCGTCCACATTTTAGTCGCCTTGCTTTGTCTGATGTGTTTCTT